CCTACCCAGAGGAGTCTCAGAGCGGCCTACAATCACCTTCCCTTCCTCACACACCAACAGACACCCTGTGAGGTGGGTGGGGATGAGAGAGCTCTGAGGGAACTGTGGACTGACCCAAGGTCACCCAGCTGGCTTCACATGGGGAGGACGTGGGAATCAAACCCGGTTCTCCAGATTAGAGTCCTGCCGCTCTTAACCACGACACCACACTGGCTCTCGAACTTTGCCCTCGTTCAGCTCTCATTCACTTCAACAAAAGAACTTCCCAGGGATTGTCCCCCACAGGTCAGGGCACGCTCACACAACTTTCAGCTGCAAGTTCTTTCCTTAACTACTCCGGGACACCCCGCTCACCTGTTCTCTTTGGTTTCGTGCAGCCGTCTTTCAATCAGGTTGGCTACACTCTGAAATGGAGGGGAAGGGAAGAGTTTTTACAGTTGCTTTGTCAGGAGCACCAGATGGAAGAAAGAAGAAGAAGAAGAGAAGAGATTGGATTTATACCCCGCCCTTCACTTGGGAGTCTCAGAGCGGCTTACAAACTCCCTTCCCCTCCCCACAACAGACACCCTGTGAGGTGGGTGGGGCTGAGAGAACTCTGACACAAACTGCTCTTGTTCAAGGACAGCTGTGCCAGAGCTTGTGACTGACCAGCTGATGAGAGCACACTGACTGCATATAAGTAGAAAGTCCGGGAAGGGGCATGGTCGGGCGTCTTGGGGATTTCCTGAGCGTGAAAGAGAGAGAAGGAACACTCGCTGTTATTATTTTAGAATATAGTCCAGTGGCACCTTTAAAACCATCAAAGTTTAATTCTGGGTATAAGCTGTCATGCGCCAAATTTGAATCCAGTGGCGCCTTTAAGACTTTGTTGGTCTTAAGGGCGCCACTGGAATCGAATTTTGTCCTATAGCTTCAGACCTGAATATATCATTATTATTTAAATAATGCATAGCATTTCTGTACAATGACACGTTTGAGTATTCACAGTGCTGTATTTACATGCGAAACTGCCTTCCACGGAATCCAACCACGGATCCATCTAAGCCAACACTGCTGACTCTGACTGGCAGCAGCTCTCCAGGGTCTCAGGCAGAGATATATCCCAGCCTCGCTTCATTGATATGCCAGGGGTAAGATGTGGGGCCTTCTACAGACTAAGCGTATGCTCTACCACTGAAATCTTCTGGCCTTTTCCTAACCATATGAAGTACATTTCTACCATCCCTAGAGCATGGTGCGGCGGAAGGTGCCTTGCCTTGTGAATGCAGATCAGGGGTTTTCCCATTTTTAAATTCCAGTGCATAAGAAGAGCCCTGCTGGATCAGACCAGTGGTGCATCTAGTCCTGCATCCTGTCTCACGCAGTGGCCTCAACCAGTTCCTCAGTATCTTAGCCACTCTCGTGCGGGTGGAAACAGGGTCATCTCCCAGCCTCGCTTCATTGATATGCCAGGGATAAGACGTGGGGCCTTCTACAGACTAAGCATATGCTCTACCACTGAAATCTTCTGGTCTTTTCCTAACCATATGAAGTACAACATTTCTACCATCACTAGAGCGTGGTGCGGCTGAAGGTACCTTGCCTTGTGAATGCAGATCAGGGGCTTTCCCATTTTTAAATTCCAGTGCATAAGAAGAGCCCTGCTGGATCAGACCAGTGGTGCATCTAGTCCTGCATCCTGTCTCACGCAGTGGCCTCAACCAGTTCTTCAGTATCTTAGCCACTCTCGTGCGTGTGGAAAAAGGGTCTCTGTTGCAAGGCACACTGTGCACCTACTGCCTATCAATGGAGAGCAGTCTGTCTAATGTCACATTTTATCTCCACCATGTCCAAGCTCAGTACTTTGACAGGCATTCAGTCCTATGTGGGAAAGGTCTTTACTTATAGGGGGAAGGGAAAGGAAAGGCACGACATCTAGGTGAACTACTGGGAGTGGGTGCCCCTTCTTAAGCAGAGCAGAGCTCCATCAGTGGCTCTTAGCCACAAGGTATAGATAGGAACTCTCACGTTGGGACAAGTGATGCTCTGTATTCTTGGTGCTTGGGGGGGGGCGGGGGGTGGCAACAGTGGGAAGGCTTCTAGTGTCCTGCGCCCACTGATGGCACCTGGTATTTCTGGCCACTGTGTGACAGAGTGTTGGATTAGATGGGCCATTGGCCTGATCCAACATTGGCTCCTTGTTGGGGTTCTTTTGGTAAAAATGTGTTTAAGCAGAGTAAAAATCACTAGGATCAGCAGAGTAAAAGATTGAGAGACTGAGTCCATGTGTATTGTGTATGCAAAATATAAAGGTTTACTATAAACCTAACAGGGGGAAAAGGTACACGGGATACAAAATAACAACAGAACTAGATAGCTACATCCTTACAGCTGGGGAGATAAAACAGGAATGGCATCTCCTTCTCCAGCAAGACAAAAAGGCAGGAAGGAGAACCTCAATATGCTAAATACCTGATACATCGATTTCCAATCAGAGAGCTAAAGTTCTTACAAAATCCCCGGGGCTTTCTACTAAGTGAATAGATTGGATACAAACAAACATGTGACTTCCTGTTGACTATTGTAAACAACATTAACCCTGTAAATACTGAAGTGTTTTAAACTTGTTACACCCCAACACTTCTCTTATGTTTTTATGTTCTTAATCCCAGTGCCTAAAGAGGCAGGCTCTGCTCCCTCTCAACTGGGTCCCAGATATTAAGAATTCTGATTCTAAACTCAGTTCTTTGGGCTTTGGAATACTTACACTGTGTGTGTCTCTTGACTAATGTGCAGAGGAGTCCCAGTCTTACAATGAGCTGTTTTGTTGTAGCCAGTGTTCCCTCTAAGCTGAGTTGGTGTGAGTTAGCTCACAGTTTTTTAGCCTCCAGCTCACAGATTTTTGTCTTGGCTCAGGAAGGAGGGCTCCAGAGAAAACTAATTTATGCAGTAGCCAAATCACTTGCTCACAACTTTGATGCCAGTAGCTCACAAAGTAGAATTTTTGCTCACAAGACTCCACAGCTTAGAGGGAACATTGGTTGTAGCAGCTGAGGTTATGCACAGCTTCTTTTGAAAGCCCATGGTAGCCCCAAGGAAAGGAAGATACCTGCAAGCTGACAATGTTACATGTCAGCATCTTATACATCATTTCCTTCGCTTCTTTGGCAGGGATCATGGCAAAGTCTTCTATTTGCTTCTGTTCCAAATGCTTCTTCCTCAGGAGAAGACGGAAGATTCGGGCGCACCGGGATCCAAATCTAGAGTGGGGAAGGAAAGGAGAATCATGAAATGCTTCACCCCAACCACCAAAGCTCCTAGGCTGGTCAATATTTCTTCTCTGTATACTTCACGCAATATAGTGACAAGCCTCCTAGATACAATTTGGTTTCTATTTCAAGTTTCTAGGTATCAAGGTTATAGGAGAAAAAAAATGCAAAATGGACCTGTAAAACCTAGTGAAGAATTCAGAAGTAAAAGGCAGACTTTGCACAGATGGATATATGATCAAAGCAAGAAAGGAGGACCTTCTCCACCCCAACAATCATGCATATATTTGCTAACTACCAAGTTATTCTGCTGTACATTTGGGTAGGTAGTGAGAACTTCCAAGGTATTAAATATAAGGAATAAAAACGTGATAATTAAATAATAACTCTGCAATTTGTCTCAAAACCACACTATGTGCAATGGTTTGTTACCCCAGTCGCTTTATACTATTCTGTTTTAGTTTACACTCTGCAAGAGTATAGGTGTTGGATTTTTTTTTTACACCCTGCCCCATGGACTAGATCAGGAAGATCATTATATATAGTGCCCAATCCATGCAGACAAGGAACCTGAGGGGAAGAAAATAAAAAGAGGGATATACGGATATGCTTGCTAAGTATTAGAAAGAAGAATATTCCAAGCGTATGGAGAAGCTAAAGAAAAAATGGAAGTGAAGGAGCAAGATATTTGAGATCTAACTGGAAGCAGAAAGAGTACCAACCAGAATATAGTGAGGTTTCCCGTCACAGAGGGGTGAGATGGTGTGTTACCCAGAGGCGCTGCCTTACTCTAGGGTAGCCCCAACAGCAGGGGCACCCCACTCCTGACCTGAACCAGAGTCCCCCAAAAGTCAGGTGAAAGGAAGGCACTCTTGGTTCTGAAACACAGAGCTAGCCACAGCTCTGCAAAAGGCTTTCATTTTCAGGTTTTGCACAAGGCAGTCCTCCAAGACAATCTCCAGTCTCCCCCTCCACCCAGAAAGGTATGCATATGAAACAATGCCGAGTTCCACAAGGTACAGCATGGGTGTCAAACATGCGGCCTGGGGGGGCGGGACAGGCCCCCCCCCCCCCCGGCTCCTTCCCGCCTCCCGGCGGTAGCGGGGCACCAATGACAGCATCGGCCGTCACGTTTTGTCTTCAGCCCAGCGATGAACATCCTGCCAGCACCCTCCTCCAGGTAGGATATGGCTCCCTAGTCTCCCCTTGGTGTGAAGCACAGAGACCACGAAGAAGATAAACAGGTTGCTTACCAGTAACTGGTGATCTTCGAGTGGTCATCTGTGCATTCACACCAATGGGTTTAGTGCGCCTGCGCTGACCCGACCGGTGCTGTAGCAAGCTATGTTTCAAAGGATTTTCGCGCGAGTCCCACTGAGCATGCGCAGGAAACCCCAGCGCGCATGCCCAGAGGGACGGGCGCGGAGATCCCGCCAGTTCTCTCTCTACCGCCGCGTTGAAAGGACCTTTTTTGCCTTTCCTCCTGACCGGATAGCTATCCTTACCTTTCCGTACTTCCTGACGGAATCAGATTGGTACCGGACATTTCGTTCCTGCCTAAAGTAATTTCCGAATTCCATCTGCAAGCTGAAGTCTTCTTGCCGACTTTCTTTCCAAATCCAGTATCTGCTGAGGATAGATTACTGCATACACTGGATGTCAAGAGGGCTCTCTTGTTCTACCTGAAAAGGACACATCCAACTAGGAAAGATCCCCATCTATTCCTTTCATATGCATCACCTCGCCTGGGGACTCGTATAACAGCCCAGCGTCTATCCAAGTGGATAGTGGAATTGGTTCGTCTTTGCTACCTCCTGGCAAAACAGCCGTTGCCTGGTCCCATCAGAGCTCACTCCACTAGGGCTCTCGCGACATCTACGGCTTTTCTGAAAGGTGTGCCAATACATGACATCTGCAAAGCTGCCACGTGGGCTACGCCCAATACATTTATCAGGCACTACGCCCTCGACGTCCGACGCACCAATGACAGCATCGGCCGTCACGTTTTGTCTTCAGCCCAGCGATGAACATCCTGCCAGCACCCTCCTCCAGGTAGGATATGGCTCGCTAGTCTCCCATTGGTGTGAAGCACAGAGACCACGAAGAAGATAAACAGGTTGCTTACCAGTAACTGGTGATCTTCGAGTGGTCATCTGTGCATTCACACCGCCCGCCCTCCTTCCCCTCTGCTGTCAGCTCCTAATTTTTTGATAGGTGTTGATTGGCGGTGGTGCTTTGAAGGAACTGGCGGGATCTCCGCGCCCGTCCCTCTGGGCATGCGTGCTGGGGTTTCCTGCGCATGCTCAGTGGGACTCGCGCGAAAATCCTTTGAAACATAGCTTGCTACAGCACCGGTCGGGTCAGCGCAGGCGCACTAAACCCATTGGTGTGAATGCACAGATGACCACTCGAAGATCACCAGTTACTGGTAAGCAACCTGTTTTTCTTATTTTAAGTAAAAAAAACCCCTTTGTGTTTGTATCCTTTATAAAGTTTTGTATCTCGGCTACCTGGCACAACATTTTATGACACACATGGCCCGGCCCAACAAGGTCTCATTTATGTCAGATCCGGCTCTCATAACAAATGAGTTCGACACCCCTGAGGTACAGTATCTGCATTTCTAAAACCTATTCAGTGGCCACCTGGTGGATAGCCCTTCTGTCTCCAGAACCTCATGTAGCCCTTTTGTGTGATACCTATGTTTATGTGGAAATCCTGTGTCTCCACAACTGTCCTTCCTGTTCCATCCCTCAGGATACCGAGATAAACCAACCAAACATATTAATGATCCTTTCTGATGTCTATCAGGGACCTTTTTCCCATCTTTTGTCTAAACCTGGGAACCTATTCACCCTGCTTTGGCGAGACCATCAGTGGTCATCAAACCCATTCAGCCAGCTCCATAGAGCCATCCAGCACCTGGCTAATCTCATCAACACTATTGTGAATCCAGACTCTGCCCCTCTGGGACTTCATTGGTCAAACCTAGGTTTTGCTGTTCCTGGAGTCTCACCCCCTGGGACCCCTTCACAGGTCCAGGCAATCTATTGTCTTCACCTGAGACAAGCCCCTCAAGGCCTTCCATTGGTCCACGTTGTTTTCCAATGTCTATATCCTCCAAAGCACATGGCCTCAGAGGGTGTGTCTGCCCCAGGATGCCAACTGGCAGTTCACCCCCAAACTCTGTTTGGGCCATAATCCCTTCCCCAAGGATATCTACACATCTTGACAGGTAGCTATAAACCCCATCCTCAACAGCACTTTGCACTCTTTTGTCTCTGATCTCTTTAAGATCGCTTCACCTCTTTACTTCCTTGCTCTCTGGTGTGCATGTGTGTGTGAGATATTCCACTGATTAGCTGAATGTATTAGGGTTATTTTCTTAATAAATTTCATAAAAGATATTTCCTGTCTGTCACCTGTGCCGCTCTGAGAGAGTTCTGACTCTGGTATAATTGGAGTACGACCCCTAGCTTGCGCACCTATTAAGCAAAAGATCTCTTAGCTAATTTGCCCCATCACAATTCAAACACAGTGTTGCGGCTAACAGGTGCTCTGACCGCATCATGTGGGAGAACAGAGCACTTTGCTTACACCACAGGGGCTGAAGAGGATGTCTTTTCTGTAGCAGGTAGGAGCAGCAGAGAAGATTGATACCAAGCAAGAGGCAAACTAACTCCAGTGTCTCCCTATTTGGCCAAAACTCAGCCAGGTTTCACATATGTGCCATTTCACTCCACTCAACATTTTCAACACCGCCATCTCCAAGCCAGAAACAACACACTCAGGGAGAATGTCTCTTTACCTTTCTTGAACTATCGACTCCAGCGTTGCAGTGGCCAGTGATGCCAAGGCCTTGTGAAGGTCTGTTTGGGAGGAGGTTAAGGGACAAAAAATGGAGGAAAGGCGGGCAGGGCTGAGTTTGGATGCCGAGTTACAGATCGTTCCGTCAAACATTGTGCTAAACTGCAGTCCCACTTCCTTGATCCTGGTTTGGTGTGGTCTGGTTTGAGCCACGAAGCCTCTTTCAGTCCTCCAGACGGAAGTCTGAAAGAATGTACAACCTGAAGGCAGCAGATTGGTGTAGTGGTTAAAAGCGGTGGGCTCTAATCTGAAGAACCGGGTTTGATTCCCCAACCCTGCACATGAAGCCAGCTGGGTGACCTTGGGTCAGTCACAGTTCTCTCAGAGCTCTTCTCTCAAGAGCAGTTCTCTCAGAGCTCTCTCAGCCCCACCGATCTCACAGGGTATCTGTTGTGGGGAGGGGAAAGGGAAAGGAGATTGTAAGCCGCTCTGAGACTGAGTGAAGGGCGGGGTATAAATCCAGTCTCCTCCTCCCCTTCTTCTGTGCTTTCTGTCTGTCTCTCTCTCTGATTCTGCAAGGACACCTCAGAGCCATTTACTCATTTGCCCTGGGGACATCATGCCGTTTAAGAGCTTGGGTCAGGATTCACTTCCCAGCCATGTTTACACCAACAGTTTAGTGTCAGTTGAAGCCAGGCTTGCTGAATGGCTGTTTTGCCCTTTGACCCAGGCCAAGCAGAGCCATCTCGACACAACCAGGAAGAGAAGCTCTGCTAAACTGGATAAGAATTGGCATTTTGTTTCTTTTAGGGAACCACAAATTAGATCTAGTGAGCAGATGGCCTAGTACAACTTTTAACACACACACCCCAGCCCCCCAAAGTCAGCATCGTCTGGAAGACAGAGATGTGTGTGAAGCGCTGTCAGGTTGCTTCCGACTTAAGGGGGACCCTACGAATGAATGACCTCCAAAAAGTCCTCCCATTAACTGCCTTGCTCAGGTCCTGCAAACTCCACTTCCTCGGTTGACTCAATGCATCTCATGCTGGGTCTTCCTCTCTTCTTGCTACCTTCAACTTTTCCTAGCATTATTGGAGATAACTGACCCTTGAAAGCTCTTGTTCTCACAGGGAACATGACAGAGGAGGAGAATGGATTGCCCTGTTTCAGCGGCTCCTCTCCTCCATCTCTCCTAGTTCCCTTGCATTCCCTTTGTTCTGAGGGCACTCTACCACTTCCCAAACCACAAAGTCTCTCTTCAGATGCCCATCCTTTGATAGGAGTCCAGTATTCTTGAATGTCCTGGCAGCAGGACCCACCTGCTGTGGCCCCTGCAGCTCTCCTTCCTTCTTGCCCAACCCCGTCTTTTTGCTAGGGTCGGAATTGAGTGCAAGAGCCTCCAACACTCGCTGCCAGTCCACACAACTCTCACACAGGCCAGGCTTACTTCCAGCCAAGCACCTCGGCTGCAGTTACTTCCAGTCCAAGCGGGCAGGAGGGAGAGAACCACCCACCTTTGATGGACGTGGCAAAATGGAAACTGCTGTACACTAAAAGTCTGTGACTGGCACAGAAAAAGAGAGCAACACCCCCAGTGTGCCTACTTAACACTCTTTGCTTTTTTTCATTGGACTGATTCTTGTGCCAAGAGCTGAGCCAAAAAGGATACTGATCACGTACATGCCACCGCCGCTCTCGCCAGATTTACCAACAAACTCCAGCTATGAGGAGAGGTAAATGAGGAAGACAAGGTTGGTTAGGTCAAAGAAACATGGAACAAAAGAGCATGCTATTGCCCCATGTAATTTTTAAAACTAAAAAAAACCCACACACAAAAAACTCAAAGGTATATTTCTTAGTGGGTCATCTGCTAACAGGGTGAGATACTGGTCGAGAATTTGCTTGGAGATGTTGTAACCAGCTGGAAGTGACCGGAATATCTTTGTTTTAGAGAGAGAAAGGGAGACAGAAACCAGTAAGATCCAGTTGTCCTGAGACGACTCAAAGTATTATTAAACATAAGGAGAGAGGAGAAGCAAAAGGTTCTGGGCAGGCTACTGTCTCTCCTGAAATTTATGTAAATATGTGGCTATACATATAGGATAAAGTAACTACAGTAACTGTAGAACAAAGTTTAAGTCCAGACAGTGGCACCTTTATGACCAACAAAGTTTAGTTCTGTGTATAAGCTTTCGTGTGCGCACATGTGCACGCAAAAGCTTATATCCAGATTTAAACTTTGTTGGTTGTAAAGGTGCCACTGGACTTCAACTTTGTTCTCTTGCTTCAGACCACTATGGCTGCCCCCTTGACTCTACGGTAACTATAGCTCGTGATAGCCACTGATATACAATTTCCAGGTGAGTATTAAAAGGCCAAGAAAGCCAAATGTTGCAGAGGAAGACCATCCTACCCACACCAGCTAACCTATCTTGAGGGTACTTTGCGAACACCAAATAAGGCAATCGATCAGAGCTGGAACACAACCTGCAGCGATCAATACTTTAGATTCTCAGCGGAGAGACCTGGGTTCAAATCCCCACCGTCTATGAAGCCATCTTTGGGCCAGTTACATTTCCTCAGGGGCACAGGCAGCACTGCCCGGATCTCTTTGGAGTAACATACAAAATAACCATATATGGATTCACACAGAGGAAAAGTTTCACCAAATATTTGCTTCTGAGCTCCTTTAGCTAAAGGAGCCAAGAACTGAACTTGGGACCTTCTGCATGCAAAGCATGTGCTTTACTGTTGAGTCACAGAGAGGTGATGGATAACTACAGCAAACAAAACCCACCCAGTTATCCTGAAACAAACCCATTTTATTGGATACCCTAGCAAAGAACTGAAGTGCTTAACCGGATACACCTGGGCCATATTAGAAGCTGCCCTCTCAACACCCCATAATTTCAGAAGCTGGGGGGTGGGGGAGAAGGTTCCTGGTAAAACAGAACACACAAAACCTCCTCCCAGGTGCCAAGGACCTCCACAGACAGTGGCAGCAAACCTCTGAGCAGCAGTGCTAGGAGGTAGTTTCAGAGGAAGCCCATGGCCTCTGTGTCCTGTTTGTTGGCCCTCTAGGGCACTTAGTTGGCTACTGTGTGAAATAGGATGCTAGACAAGAAGGACCGTTGGTCCAATCCAGCAGGGCTCTTGTGTTCAGAATAGCTTCCTTGTATCCTACCCACTGATTAAGGCTTCAGAGCCATCCCTGAAAGCAGTTTCCTAGAACAAGAATTAAAGCAATTTAGGCATGGCAGTTCAGCTTCTCGGCAAGATGTGCAAGACCTCATTTCTCGGCAAAACTGGAGCTGCTGGAATGCTCCCGTTAAGGATGAGGGATATCCATCCACCTAGGTCATTTGGCCTTTGACAGAACAGAAAGAGGGACCTAGTTGCACAGTTGTTTGGCACTGGTAAGGCAACTCTGAATGCCTTTAGTGAGCCCCCAAAAGCCTGAGCAGATGCTTACCTCATTGGAAGACAGTGGCTGGGTGTACGGTGCATTGGAGGAGGTGGTAACTTCACTCATACGCAGCATCGTGCGCACAATCTCACTGCTGGTCTGTAGGGGCAGGAAAGAGAACCTCACTTATACATATATGGGTATGAAGCTGCCTCAGACAGAGGCAGGCTACTAGAATATCTAGCTCAGTACTGGCTGCCAGTGGCTTTCCAAGACCTCATGCTTTCCCCTCCACACCTGATACCTTGGATCTTCAACTAGAGATGCAAGGGATTCATGCTGGGGCCCTTTGGCATACAAAGCAGGCTCTCTGCCACTGAGCCGCAGCTCAGGTGCAGGGGGCATGATGAGATGTCCATAGACAGAGCCAAGTCAGAGGCCTCGTTCTCGCCAAGATGGTCTGTCCATGTCTGAGCCGGACAACTTCAGCCAAGGCCTTGCATGATGAAACTGCTCTCCATTAAAGAACCCCTCCACATTCAAATCTAAGCGATTCAGAGAAAAGATTAGGCTGGATGCCTTCTGTTTGACCTGCTAGTCTTCTATGTAGGAAAGGGCATACCCTCACATGAACTGCAACCTGCGGTCTAGACACAGGCGGACAGCTTCAGTGAGAACCAGAGCAGCTTTTCAGCCCCAATCAAACTGAAATGTCTAGCGGTTTACGGATCGATCTTTACTGAGATCTATCATACAGGGAATGATCAGACAGCTGGGATTGGCTACGGCATTCTACTGAATGTGCACTCTGTGGCGAGTCCGGCTGTTTGCTGGGTAATGCACAAAGTGGTTCTTTCACCTGGGGGCAGAGAATCCCAGTGAGGTGGGGAATGCCCTGCCATTAGCAGCCAGGTGACCTCCCCGTGAGCCTACAACCCAGACTGTGAGTGGGTACCCAGAGGAGAATCTGGCGCACCTGGTCCATCCTGTTGGCCACGGCGCTAACAATCACTTGATCCCGGAAATGCTGGTGGAAACGGTCAATGTTGACCTGCCAGTAGATCCCATCATCAGGCGGAGGCTGAGGAGAGGCGAATGGGAGAAAGCAGAAGAGACCGTACTGGCTTCTCTTACATGAAGGCTCTATTTATTTCCCAATATCCCCTCTACTAGTCTCCCTCCCCCCATCCAAATTCTTTGACAGTGAATACAGAATCCTTCAGCGAGTACAAGTTAGGCCAAATTTGCTTGGCACGGTCAACTCTGCAGTTCCGAGGGGCAAGGAACACTGACTATTCCCCATTTGGGTGCAGGAGGCAAGGCCTATGGCAGTTGCCCAGGGTGTGGTTCCTGGCACAGGTCCAAGGTATGGCTGAAGGATGTGAGAACTCAAGGCCGGGCCTGTTGGGAGACTTCCTGGGAACCCCTCAGCTTTGCCACCTTACTTCCATGATGGCGGAAAGGCAGGATGGAAACAAAAAGAAATTGTTTCCAATGGATCTGCGCAGCCATAAGGGCGATTAAACATTTTAATTTTTTTTTCTAAGTGACCAGCAGCAGTCCAAGAACCTTTCAGGGGTCAAGAGAGAAAACCCAAACTAATCAAGGAGCCCAGTTCTTCTGGGAAGATCTCCCACACAAGCCCCACTAAAGTTAGCAGGCAACTGCACAAAAACAGTCCATCGTGCCCCAGCACTGGGTAGCCGGGATCTCTCCCTCTTCCACAGATACCCTGAACCACACCCCAAAATCTGCCAGCCTTACGGTAGGACTTCCGAATCAGACTGGATTACCTCCTTTGCCTTCCAGCCCGTGCACTGTACGACCTTGAAACCTCCAAGAGCTTCGGTGGGCCACAGAAATTAACACTTGGAATTCACTGCCACAGGAAGTGGTGGCGGCTACAAGTATGGACGGCTTCAAAAGGGAATTAGATAAGCATATGGAGCAGAGGTCCATCAGTGGCTATTAGCCACAAGGTATAGATAGGGGCTCTGGGGCAAGTGATGCTCTGTCATCTTGGTGCTTGGGGGGGGTGAAAATGGCAATGCCAACAGTCACCATCAACACAGGGGCAAGAAGGGGTGTGTGGTGGGGACTAAGAAAGTAGCCCATAGAACCCGGACTGACTGTCACTAGAAGGACCAGCTAGATTCAAGTCCAGTAGCACCTTAGAGACCAACAACAGTTTTGGGACGCAAGTTTTTGAAAGTGAAAGTTCCCTTTGTCAGCTTTGACTGTCAGAAGCTCACACCCCCAAACTCTTGTCGGTCTCTTACGGCTGCTACTGGACTCCGATCTAGCCGTTCTACTGCAGGCCAACGCGACTGCCCTCTGGAACTGGAAGGATCCCTAAAGACCTGTGGCCAAGATGGCAGCTGAGGGGGAGGAAGAGCAGAGAAATCAAGATGTAGATTAGCTTGTTTGTTTTTAGCTATGTAATGTTCCCTTTATTTTTACAGTCTGTAAAAACCCATTCAAACAGAGTTCTTCTGGGGAAGCCGCACTGAAATAATTCAAGTAATAATGTCCGGCATCCGTTCATGGAGGGAACACCGTTAACGCACCCCGGGACGAGAGGTTTCAGTACCTCTTTGCTGTCCGCGTTTGGTTTCTGCCGCTTTGCCTTGGGTTCACAGTCGTCACCGTTATCAGAGTGCCTCCTCTTCCCCTTCCCTGCGAGTCAAAAAAATAACATTCACCTTTTCAGCTACCCCACTGGAACCTTTTCAGAAGTGCCAGAGCAGAAGCAAGAGTCTGAAGCCTGCCTTGCAGAGAGATGCTCAAGCTCCACCCGCCCCATGGGTTGTAGGTGCAAACCTCAGGCCAAACCTACTCTACAGTCTTTAAAACTATTTGACGAAGCCTCTGTTCTTAGGAAACCCTGGAAGTGGTAGTTTTTTGTGTGTGGCATGAGATAGGTAAAAAGAAGTAGAGTAGAGAGAGTAGAGATTGGATTTATATGCCGCCCTTCACTTGGAGTCTGAGAGTGGCTTACAAACTCCTTTCCCTCCCCTTCCCCACAACAGACACCCTGTGAGGCAGGTGGGGCTGAGAGAACTCTGACACAAACTGCTCTTTTTCAAGGACAGCTGTGCCAGAGCTCGTGACTGACCCAAGGTCACATCAGCAGGTGCAAGTGGAGGAGTGGGGAATCAAACCCGGTTCTCCCAGATTAGAGTCCGCACGCTTAACCACTACACCAAACTGGCTCTCAATTCTTGCCATTCCATTTTTTCTTTCCAAAGGTTCGGGGGGGGGGCGGGAGCAGAAGTCCAGTGGCCCCTTAGAAACGGATAGCATTTATTCCAGCTATGAGTTTTGTGAGCCATGAAAGTTCATATTGGAATAAATGTCATTAGCCTTTAAGGGACCACTGGACTTCAGCTTTGTTCTGCTCAGACACAGCTGGCGGTGGAAAGTGCCGTCGAGTCACAGACAACGTTTGGTGACTCTTTGTGGGGGTTTCCAGGCAAGAGATGAGCAGAGGTGGTTTGTCCTTGCCTGCTTCAGCATACCCAACCCAGGACGTGGGGGTCTCCCATCCAAGTACAAACCTGGGCTGACCCTGCTTAGCTTCCGAGATCTGATGAGATCGGCCTAGACTGGACCATCCAAGCTACCCCACTAATACAGCCATCCCACTAGAATTATCTCTGGGGGGGGGGGGAACAGAGACAGTTCAAGGATTACCAAACTGAGTGCAGTCTGCACTTCCCCTGCTCTTCTAAATACATCTGCAGAGTGGTCTCCTCCTTCTCAAAGTCCCTTCTTAGTTCCATAGCTTATAGGCTTTGAGGCGTTGTTTGCCAGTCGGTGACTACAGCTGTTCACTACCTCGTAAGTTCATTTTTATCCCATCGTTCCTCCAAAGAGCTCAGAGCAGCATACACGGCTCTCCTTTTTGCACTGTACCCTCACGACAACCCTATTACGTAGGCCAGGGTGAGAGAATGAGACTGGTCTGAGGTCACGCAGCACGCTCCACAGCAGTGTGGGGATCTGAACCCAGGTCTCCCAGATCCTAGTCCAATGTTCTAAGCACTACACAGGGCTGGCTGTCAGAAATTCACTAGCGGCTATTACACCAATCGAGGGATACCTCAGCTGCCCCCTCACCTACGAGATTCAGCCGTGGAACTGTGTACATCTCCTGCTCGTTGAGCACCAGCGTGGGGGCGGGAGGAAGCGGGGCCTCTGGGGGTTCCGGGCTCTCAGGGGCTGATGGACATCTCTGAATGAAGTGAGTGTCTGCCAGACGCACAAAGGTGCTGGAGACTTCGCTGTAGTCCATCGTTTTTCCTTCTGAAGAAAAGAAAGACGGGTCCGTCTCCTCTGCCGGTCTCAGTCTCCGCTGGTGCTACCTTCCCAGGGCCGAACCCCCTTCCAGCCTCTCACCTTCCATCGTTTCCGTCAGCCGGTCGGCCACCTTCTTCACCACGGCGCTCATGGTCATCTTGCCATTCAGCAGCAGCTCTTCCACAACCAGCTCCCCCGTGTCACTGTAGAGGGTCTTGGCTGTGTAGATGTACCGGGGATAGCGGAGGATCCGCAGCACTCGGCTGCACTGGGCTTCGTACTCCACCAAACCTCGCTTCTGCAGCTGGTAGGTCACCAGGTTGTGCTGGATAAGGACACAGAGCGCCTTCCGAACCTGCAAGAGGGGAGGAAACACTGGGTTGATAGCCCTTCCAGAAGTCTGTGTTCAGTTTAAGGGGGACAGATTCCATGAACTGGAATGAGCATCAGAGAGCGATCAAAACCAAGCCTCTGCCATGAACAGAAATCCTAACCCAAAGCATCTGTAGTCAAAACAAAAATAGTCCAACTCAGGAATGGCCAAAACTGCAATTCATTTAATTTCAATTATCTTTACTATTCAAATAGCATGTACCTAATTTCAATAATCTTTAACCCTGCAAGGTAGGTCATTATTACTACTTACTATTCAAATAAATAAGACTTCCAGGTATCGCATGTACCTAATTTCAATAATCTTTACATTAACCCTGCAAGGTAGGTCATTATTACTACAGGATGATAAGCTGAGACAATAGCAGGGTGCTTAAAGCCTTAAGCTGCCCAATCCAATACAAAGTCATGCCTACCCAACCTATTATTTTCCTTGAGTTTAGGCAAGCCTAGCCAAGCTTAGTTGCTTGAAAGTTCATGGATAAAGTCCCATTTAAGATTTGGGACTTCCCGGCTTATGTCTCATGCTTGCAGCCAGTACAATATATCTCTCCTCTTTTATTTTCAAAAGGTTTTAACTGTTGTAATCTATTTTATCAGTGCAAAGCTAACTCAAGAATTATTTCATTGCCATACATATATGTTTATATATAAGTTAGTGTGGCATAGGACTTAATGTCAGCCTAGGACCAAGGAGAGCTGGGTTCAAATCTCTGCTCTAGCATAAAGCACTCAAGCCACTCACACGCTCCCAACCAAACCTACCTCACAAGGTTATTGCAAGAATAAAATTCATGTCTGTGATATATGCGACTCTGAATTTCTTAGATGAAGAGTGGAGTAAAAATGAAACAAACAAGTTACACTGAATGAGCGCATAGAAAAGAAGAGACAAAACATTAGCTAACCGATGCCTCATAGCAGCATCGAAATCCCTCAAATGTTATTTTGGTTCCAGATCCTTACACAGTACTGCCATCTCTTTACAAATAAATGTATACGGTTTTTATGTCCTAACCATGTGCAAAGGGCAGCGTTTTTATCCATAAGAAAGCAACACCTCCATACTCAGAGGCAGCAAACCTTTGAATAAGATTGCTAGGTGGCACCATAACAGTTGGCCTCTACATGTTGGTTTGCTGGTCTTCCAAGGAAACTGGATGGCCACTGCGTAAAACAGAATACTGGACTCAGTGGACCACTGGCCTGATCCAGCAGAGCTCTTCTTATGTTCTTAATATCAAACACTAATGGACATATGAAGCTGGCCTTGAGTCAGGCCACTGGCCCACGTAGCTCAATACAGTCTACTCTGGCTGGCAGTGGCTCTCCAGGGCCTCAGGCAGAGAAGGGACTTTCCTAAAACCTGCTACCCAAGATCCTTAAATAGTGATGCTGGGGACAGAATCTGGGACCTTCCACATGTCAAGCAGGTGCATCAGCCACAGCCCCTCCCTGCACAGTTGCCTAAGCAACAGAAGGTGAAGGTTATTCTCATACACTCCAATTTTCTTGTAAGTCTTCCAGCACCAACTGAGAGAAGGGAGAAGTGTAAGAAGAGATTGGATTTATATCCCACTCGGTGTCTCAGAGTAGCTTACACACTCCTTTCACTTCCCCTCCCCACAGCAGACACACTGTGAGGTAGGTGGGGCTGAGAGAGCTCTTTCCAGAACTGCTCAGACAGAACTATGGCTTGCCCAAGGTCATCCAGGAGCTGCAAGTGGAGGTGTGGGGAATCAAACCCAGTTCTCCCAGATTAGAGTTCGTGCACCTAACCACTACACCAAACTGGCTCTTAATTCTCTCTTTCTGCACTTCCCCCCTCTGCTCATCTTGTTTTTAACTACTGGTTTGGCATACCTGGTCAAGTGACATCCCAGTGTCATGAGCGATCATTCGTAATGGCTGGCTTCCATTGTGGATGAGGTGTGTCCCAATCTTTTCCACAATCTCACCAAAATGCTCACACAGTAGGAGGGAACAAAGCTTGATTTCGGCCTGGGTCATCCTGGTGAAGAATTTTTAACCAGTCCAGGCTTCTGCAAAGGGAGATCATGTCCATGCAAGTCAGCTGATGATCAACCCTGGGAATACTAACTCAGGAGTCAAGAATGAGCTTTAGGTATCAGGATTTTAAATGCCAGCAGATGACTAAACTTTTTTTTCTTGAAGAAAAATATTTTACCATTGCCAGGCAGCCCACTAGCAATACCTCATAAAGGCAACTGGCCACTCTCTTCCTGGATGGCAGCATTTCAAGCTGTGCAAGGATGAGAGAAGAAGGACTGCATGCTTAAACTCCACTCCGCAAGGGGGGAAATCCTCCCTGCATACCAAAACATAGCATGTCAAAGAGAGGCAATGCCTAAGCCTTCCCCCGAGAAGCTAGATTTCTATGTTGGGGCAAGTTTTCAATCATGCAACTGCTTACCTGAAAGATAGGAGAAAGCTTTTACCACTACCTTCTGTGGAACATATCAGACAAACCTGAGCACTATTCTGGTTTCTGACAGACTTCAGTAAGATCAGGCTGTGCCATCAGTAAAGCAGCATATTAGGAGGAGGCTGCAGGCAGAGTTCCCAGATCCTCTTACTGGATGATTCAAAAAGAAAGCAATACATTCAGCTCATACGTTTCCACAGCCATCTGTCAGAAGCACCCAGGAAGCCTACCCTCCATTCACGAACCCATGGGTCTTGGCTCCCAACCTTTGCCCTTCTAGGCTCACCCCACAAGTCTAACTCAATAGCCCCCCACCTCCAATTTTCAAACAAAAAGTAGGACCCAGGCGCCTTCATAATTCAATAGCCTAGCTTTGTATTCACTCGCCCCAAATTATTCTGTTATGCAATCCCGTAAAGTGAAAGGCTAAATTACTACCTCCACCCATTCTACTCACATACTTTCCGAAAACTAAGGTCTCAAACCCTGCTAGCCGCCATGGAAACCAAAGCCATGCACAGCTTCCGGGTCACTAGCATAACTTCCTATCTCTGCCCCGCCCACCTCCGCTTCATATTACCGCTGTCATTTTCTGTTATTCCGGTTATAGAGAGGGACACGCCCCCTGGCCAATTTCCCGCGAATCAGATTCATGACGGGCAACGGCTGTTTCCGAAAGGTCTCCTGGGTCTTTCATAGGAGTGGGCGGGCGTATGCAAATAAAGCACCAATGAGGTTGAAAGAATCCCACGCGATCTGAGCGGAGGGCTGCTCGGTGAGTGGGTGGGAGTTCGAAGCTGGGCTTTACTGTGCTGGGGAGTTGAAGCATAGAATCGCTGTCGCAGACTCCGATTTCTATCAAAATGGTAGGATTTCATTTCCCCCCCAGATATGTTTGTTTATCTCTTCTTGGTCTTTTGACAACAAAGCGTGAACCTCAATATACACGTTTTTACTAGCTTAATTCTTTTATATAGGCAGTATCTAGTAAATAATTTTGTGGGCTTTTATCTTCCATAATTCTTTGTTTTCTCTTTGTAGCCAACACTTTCCCCCATAAAATAAAAATCCCTTTGTTATCTACATATTTTTCTTTCTTTCTCATTTTATAAACATTATCGTCCATTTTCCTATCACACATCCAGGACTTCTGCTAAATCTTACCCACAGCCTCCAACAATACTATCAATTAATAAACCACAATCCCTTTTTCTCCACCTTTCAATATAATTTTCCAGTCTCCACTCCTAATCTTTGCAGGCTGATCTAACATACCCTTCCCAAATGTATATTCTGCACAACCATTTTCTCCGGCTCTCTTCTGGTTTCCTTGACTCCCAAGATGAAGAAGAAGATGAGGCTGAATGAATAAGACGTGAATAAGGAATGAATAAGGAACCGGGAATAAGGAACCAACTTCAGCCTCCTAAGAAGAAGTGGGTTTTTTTTTAATCCCCCACTTTTCTCTACCCTGAGGAGTCTCAAATCAGCTTACAATCGCCTTTCCTTCCTCCCCACAACAGGCACCTTATGAGGTCAGTGGGGCTGAGAGAGTTTTGAGAGACCTGTGACTGGCCCAAGGTCACCCTTTAGGCTTCACGTGGAGGAGGAGTGGGCCATCAAACCCAGTTCTCCAGATCAGAGTCTGCTGCTCTTAACCACTACAATATGCTGCCTTTATAAATAGCTATTTATCCTTAGTCAACACGGCAAAACAGGGTCGTTCCCCCACATCACCACCATCTAAGCAACAAGCTCGTAGGACTCTTCTAGCCAACAGACTAACAATTTCTACATGCAGATGAGCAGTGGGCCTAGAAGGGCAAAGGTCCAGGGCTGGCTCAACACATTTTCCTCCCTGATGCCACTTTCACCCTCTCTCCTACCACAAGCATAAATCCTCACTGTTCTCCTAACAATACCAGATTGATCCATACATAGGATAAAACAGTCAGTCTATCTCTGGGTCTACACTATGGCCTGCCCTAAAAATTGTCCTTGAAGATGATTTGGTGTTTTAGAACACCTTAAAGCGCTGTAGAAAGGCTAACCATTACAGAACCATAGAGGGGGAAATGCTCACTACCCTCTACCCTGAAGTCGCTTACCACAAAAGCTCCATACAGCTTCCCTTCCCCTGCTACTTTTTGGGCCCCTGTCCTTTTCATCAGCTGACACATGACTGAACCTACGACAAATACCCCTTAAGGATTTGCCCGTGTGTTGAAATTAATAATGCCTGTTCAAGGCCCATTGGAAGGAATTGGATGCAATCACAACTGCCAGTTTGAAAAGAAATTTGATTGTCCAGCACAGATCCCATTAAGAGTCTGTTTGTATATCTACCGATTGCATTTTTTTATCCTGTCCCATTATGTGTTCCTTCATTCTGCCATTTTATCCTCACAGCAGCCATATGAGATAGATTAGGCTGAGTGTTTGTGACTGAGCCCTAAGGTCACCCAGCAAACTTCACAGTAATGTGGGAATCTGAATCTGGCAGTGCAATCCCAAACAGAGTTAGGCTCTTTAAAGTCCACTAGAATAAATGAGTTTAGAAGGGTGTAGACAATTGTGAAGTGGAGGCAGGCAGTGGCAAACTATCTCTGAATGTCTCTTGCTTTGAAAACCCCATGGAGGGTTGCCATTTTACCTTTTACAGTTCCACAGGGCCTGCAAGACGGAGCTCTTCCACCAGGCCTTCGGTTAAGGAGCCGCCACCATTAATAACACCACCACCACCACTTTATCAAGGATTATTATGATACTTGAGAAAGATAGAGCTCGTGCCCTGATTCCACCGTTACAGCCTGTACCTGCCGTATATAAAGGATAAGAACGGGAAACTGATGAGCAAGGCAGACCAGAGACCACACTAATATATCATTGCCGCCATTTCTGAGTACTAATTACAACTAACTAGCTAGCACTTTATGACATCAGTGTGTGTATATGGTTTTATCTACGTTATAATTGTTTTACGTGTTATCTTTTGCAAGCCGGCCTGAGCCTGCTTAGCAGGGAGGGCAGGGTAAAAATTAAATAAATCAGCTGGGACGTGACAACAAAAACAACAACCGAACAAGTTTGCTTAGGGTTAGGTTGGCACTATGAGGCTCCGAGATCCTAGTCCAACAGTGCAAAATCCTAAGCATGTATACTCAGAAATGTCCCACTGAGATCAGTAGAATTTACTCCCTAGGAACTGTCCTTGACCCATTCCAGTCCAGTTTCCGCCCGGGACATGGGACAGAGACAGTGCTGGTTGCCCTTACTGATGACCTCCGCAGACATCTGGATCAGGGCGGTGTGGCAGCGCTGTTGTTGTTAGATCTGTTGGCCGCGTTTGATACGGTCGACCATCAGCTGCTGGCCAACTGCCTCACTGACGTGGGGATTCAGGGGCTTACCCTTCAGTGGCTTGCCTCGTTCCTCCAAGGTCGGGGACAGAGGGTAGTGTTAGGCAGTCCCAGAGACACCCGCTTGAATGTGGGGTGCTGCAGGGGGCAGTGCTTTCCCCGATGCTGTTTAACATATATATGCATCCCCTCGCCCAGATTGTCCGGAGGTATGGGCTGGGGTGTCATCAATATGCAGATGACACCCAGCTCTATTTGATGTGGGGCGGCCAGTTGGACTCTGACCCAGAAGCTCTGCACCGGGCTTTACAGGCCATGGCGGGGTGGCTCAGGCTGAACAGGCTGAAATTAAACCCGGCGAAGACGGAGGTCTTGTGCTTGAGTCGGACCGGTTAGGGCTCCTGACCTTCGATGGAGCACTTTGGTGCCAGCTTCAGAGGTTAGGAGTTTGGGAGTGCTCCTGGACCTCACCTTAACGATGGAGGCCCAGGTGGCGGCCACTGCCAGATCGGCCTTTTATCATCTTCGGCTGGTACGGCAGTTGGTTCCTTTCCTTGACCGCGATGATCCATGCGACGGTCACCTCGAGGTAACGCTCTCTACATGGGGCTGCCTCTGTCGCAAATCCGGAAGCTGCAGTTGGTGCAGAACGCTGCGGCCAGGCTGTTGCTGGGAGCCCCTAGGTGGGAGCACACCCAACATGTACTGAAAGCGCTGCACTGGCTGCCTATAGCATACCGGATTCGCTTCAAAGTGCTGGTGCTTACCTTTAAAGCCCTACATGGCCAGGGTCCGACATACCTGAGGGACCGCATTTCCCCATATATTCCCCAAAGAGCACTTTGGTCGGGATCACAACACCGCTTGGTGACCCCGGGCCCCAAGGAGGCCAGGCTTACCGCAACGAGGGCCAGGTCCTTTTCAGTGGCGGCTCCTATCTGGTGGAATGAACTCCCGGAGGAGATCAGGGCCCTGCGGGATCTTGTGCAGTTCTGCAGGGCCTGTAAGACGGAGCTCTTCCGCCAGGCTTTTGAGTAGGAGCCACCACTGCCACTACCACCACCGCTCTACCACAGAGCATTACTGGCGGAGGGCTGGGTAATATCTGTTGCGGCCCTAGCCCTCCCCTTCTGTTATACAAAATGTTAGGAGTTTTCTATTGTGCATCTGATGGAACCAAATTTTAATCGTTTTTAGCTTTTATATGCACTTTACAGTGGACTAGTCTCGTGTAAGCATCAATAGGAATTTTATAAACCCCCACTTCCACCCAATTCTTTTAATTAAATGTGAATTTTAAGTTAAACCAAGTTTAGCTATGAGAAAATATTGCATCTATAAAGTTTATGTATTTTTCTGTTTTTCTAGGAACTTCTACAAATGCAACTGCAAGATGCACATGAAGAACTTTTATTTTGCATATTTTAAAATATATTAATTTAAAGCTCATGTATTTGTATTTATTCAAAATATTTATTTATTATTTAATTCATTTGCACCTCACTTTTGACTCCAATGGGGACCTAAAATGGCTTATATGGTTCTCCTCTCCTCCATTTTATCCTCACAACAACCCTGTGATGTAGGCTAGGCTGAGAGAGTGTGCTGGCTCAAGG